TTTATCGTACCGTATGCTTATCAGCACAGCTATCGGGCCTCGCTCCCTCCCACTGCGTCTGGCCTCTCGCTCTAGCTGCACGGCGCTAGCTGCAACGCCTACGCACCTCCAGAACCTGCGCCGTCCAGTCCAGTTACCAAAAAACACTCGCATCGTCTTCGTTAAGAGGTTTTTGTTTTGGTTTCGTCGGGCGTTGAAAAGTCGGTTAACCCAGTTTCTGTGACTATATTAAATATTGTTCATTTACCTATCCACTGGGGCATCAAATGGGAATATTTTCCAAGTTCAACTTCACCTATAATACCATGTGGGCCAAGTAAGTTGTTGCTGTTGTTGTTGTTGTTGTTGCGGAAATGAGACCAGCATAAGATATCTCATATTTATACATATGTATGTACATATATATGATATACTCTCTGTGTACATCGGATATATGTTTACAAATTTATGGAATTTCCTTTTGTTGCGATATCAGAATGTGTTTGCGTCCCTGAAAAGCTGAAACTGAAGCTGATGGCATGGGAATATATTTGAATAGTGTCAAAGTATAGCTATAGAGAAAGAGAGGGAGAGAGAGAAAGGGAGATGGGGAGAGGGATAAGTTGTTAAGGAATTTGAAAAACTTGATCTGCAATTAGAGAATTGAAACAACTTAAAAACTTACAATAAATATTTGATATATGCACACATTTCTCTCTAGATGTGGTACATATATGTCCATAAAAATATGGTCAGTCGGTAAAGCCCTAGACTTACCAACATTTAGTATAGCAGTTACAAGACATACTAAATAGTTGTTATACAATTTTTTTTTAGCGCGATATGATTACATCTTATCAATTTATATACGAAATGAAAATAATATTTACATAAATAAATTATAAGAAATGGTTGAATTACAAATTTGTTAGATTGAAAAGGTTTTCTTTGATTTGTGTGTTTTTTTTAATAATTAGTTTATATACTTATATATCAATATATTTATATACTGATCAGAAACCAAGCAGAAAGAACACTTCATTCTAGCAAAGTGGTTTATTGTTTATATTGCATGTTGTATTCAAATACAATTATTTTGATATCGAACAATAATAATAACAGTTATTCGAAATCAGAACTCAAGAGTGATGAGCAGTGATAAGGGTGCAGCTAGCTAGAGCTTTACTTTCATATGACACTCGTATCTGAAGTGATGTTTATCGTATTTATGTATGTGTGAGTGTGCGCAGCCATCATCTAGTGGGTGCTTAGTCAAGTAGTTCACTAGCCCTTCGAGTTGATCAAAAGTATTATAGATGATATTACACTATGTTATACTATAAGTAGGTACATCTCAAGAGCTTTTCAGCAGTTGCTCTGCATGTGTGTGTTCGTGTTTCTATACGGGCTGTCTGCATGTATGTTTTGGTCGGAGCTCTGCATGTTCGAAGAACGGAAGCTCGTAAAGCTCGTAATTCAATTAAAATGGACCGCACCCAACATTTTCGGTTGACCCATTGTGTCATCAGTTCGCAATGCACTTCGAGCTGCCGCTAACCGGAATTCTCGATTCTCAACTGCGCACTGCGAACTGCGATGGCTGCGTGGCTGATAGCTGATGGCTGGTGGCAAACCCAACGCAACGCGAGGCACGCACGCGCATCATTGTGGGCGATGGCCGACGCACCCGCATCTGTTACAAGCGGTGAAAAACGCGAGCGCGTTTAAAGTCGCGCGCGCGCGTTTTGCGCCGCATTTAATTTAAGTTAATTGCAAATTTCCTGGGTTGCTTTTTTGTTTTTTTTTTTTTTCGTTAATAATTTGTTAAGTTCAGTCAATTTTGAAAGTAATTTGACACGGCTCAAATTATATTTGCCGATCAGTTACCATTTCAAAAACAAGACAGAAAACAAAACTGTTTTGTTGTTTTTTTTTTATGCCCTGAACCAATTTAGGGAACTTGGGGGATATTGCTTATGTTAAAGTGTGTGCTACAGGTACAATAAGGCGTGGCAAAAGGACATTTATCTGTAAGAGTTTGCTCTATAAATTCAATAGAATCGATAAATAGAATCATGATAAGCAGAATCGATATATAGAATCATGATTGGAATTGAAGTCTCAGCTGCTGCTTAGCTGGGAAGCTGGAGGTGCGATGCATGTGAGATGATGCGCGCAGAGAGATTCAGTTTGGGGTTTGGCTTAAGTCTATTTACTAGAACGAAAGGGAAGGAGATCCTGGTTCGAATCCAGGCGTAGACGAATTTTTAACAGTTTGGCCTAAGTGCACTTACTGGAAGCGCAGAGTAGAGGCAATGCATGTGAAATGAGATGGTGCGCGCGTAGATCCAGTTTCAAACCTTTGGGGTAGATGAATTTCTAGAGTAGAGGCGATGCATGTGAGCATCGCACGGTAATCCAGGTTCGAACTCAGGCGTTGACGAATTCCAAATAGTTTTGCTTAGGTCAATCCTACATACTATATGTGAGCCTATATATAAATATACATATAACTGAGCAATCAGTGTTATCTATATTAATAGATACACACATTAGGTATACTAAGCTATGCAGCGTATGATTGATTGACCCGGGGCTCAGGGTATCTGCTAGTCGAACATTTCCATCAGTCTAAAACTTTCTTACATGATTATTTCTGTTTTATTTATTTTTATTTTGCTCTTTATTATTAATTTTTTGTTGTTGCTGGAAATTAGTCATTTCCGTGCCACGCAAAAGAGGCGTTAATTGCATTCAAACTGTTGTCACTAGTGCACGGCCACGCCTACCCCTGTGCCCTCGGCCCCCCTCGCTGTCGAACTATTGATCGCTGGCAGTCACCGATCGTCATAATTTGTATTATTAATTGGCCAATTTTCGAAATTCAAGTTGAAGGTCAGAAGTAAGCGAAACAAAAAACATAAATAAAATAAAAGAAACACAAAAAAAAAAAGTAAAACGCAACACAAATTATGAATCAGCAATTAGAATATTCGTATTTCCCGATATTATTGAAGCCTACGATTGCCGACCAAACACCGTCATCGCCCATTGGAAAAAGCTTCGACAAGGTCTGCGCTGCGGTTACTTTTCATTCTTCCGGCTGCGTTTAACCCCCTTTTTTGTGCTTTTAGTTTTTCGCAATCATTGATACAAATGTTTGAACAAAATAGAACTTCAAGTGGAAATTCTTGAACAGGTTTTATGCTGACTTCCAATTTATTGCTTGTGCCAATGGCATCGAATGGCAATAGATCTTTTCAGCTGCGACAGATGCACCATAGCACGATAGCAGCAAAAAGACGTCTAGTAAGAGTGCATCAGTCGGACATGCTCGACTATGTAGATATCCTAAACACTGCTCAGAGTTACGCAGGTTTCTGTACATGAAAGTTTCTATATGATTAACTCACACCGGCTCTAAATTTACAATCTGAGTGAAATTATGACATCTAAATAGGAGTATACCAATGCCCAATGAAATCCCAGATGTTTCAAATAGTTTTATTTGGGATATATAACATCGAATGGTTTATGTATTTACTACAAGAAAGCAAACATCCTCTATCCTCTAGTCTAAAGTCTCAAATCTCTATCATCTATACACTCTTCTGTATCCTTCTAGCACCTAGTGTATGCCTGTGCTTTATCCTCTATTCTCTATTCTCTACTCTAGTCTCAATTCTTTAATCTCCTCCTCCTCCTCCTCCTCTATTCTCTAGTCTCTAGTCTCTAGTCTCTAGTCTCTAGTCTCTAGTCTCTAGTCTCTACTCTCGAGTCTCTAGTCTCTAGTCTCTAGTCTCTAGTCTCTAGTCTCTAGTCTCTAGTCTCTAGTCTCTAGTCTCTAGTCTCTAGTCTCTAGTCTCTAGTCTCTAGTCTCTATTCTATATTCTTTAGTCTCTAGATCCTAGTCTCTAGTCTCTATTCTCCAGTCTTTAGTCTCTAGTCTTTACTCTTTAGTTCCCAGTCCCTAGTTATACATAAAGTTAACGTCTATTTTTGAAATGTCTATTTTAACTAGAAACTGACATTCATGGCCAAAATTATCAAGCTGTATAGTACAGTGGAGTCTCTAGACTTTCACCATAAATGTTTCCTCTTTGATCTCTCGTGAATTATTTGATTCGACGTTGTATCCGTGTTTCCATCTTTGTGATCGCTTTGCGGCTTACAACACGCTCTCTGACGAGCTAATCTAATCGGAGGTGTTTGGGCAATTCATTAAAAATGAAATTTCTTATCAATAAAATAAAATTTGTGCAATAATTGAAAATTATTATCATTATGAACTCTATTCGCCTTTCGATATGTATTCACAATCGATGAGAGTTCTTATTCTTAGTTCAATTATTTCATAACTTTTATTAATGCCAAAACATTCCTTTCGAACATGTTTTTGATAAACGATAAATGCTTAACGATCCAAAAATTATTTGACTATATAAATTATGAAACATAATATTATTTATATTAATCATGTTAATTTTTAAGATTAAAAATCTATTTAAAAGGAAAAAGGAAGTCGATTAAAATAATCGATCACTAATTTGCATTTCGATATATTGATGCGCTTTCAGGAATATTTCAACTACGATTAAAATTATTTTCGATTTCTTGATATACCCTACTCTTAAGTAAACTGAAAGCGAGTATATTGGCTTCATATGCATTTTATTATATACTTTTATATAAATACTCTTACATAGATTATATGGAAGACTATATAATCTTTAGCGGTAAACGCTTTTGATCAAGTTGACTCAAATCGAGCGAGTATGCGACAGTCGATAGCACCCGATCGCTGCGGAGTTGTTTGTTAATGCGTCTCATTACGAAAGTGTCAGCTTAGCCACATGGCTTAGAAAACTTGGGGCCAATCGATTACGGGCAAGTGAATAATTTGTCTGACGTAACGCCATCAGCTCCGATTCGCCTCACTTAATAAATTTATTAACTATGCCTGTATACATAAGTAACTAACAATCTCTCTCTCTCTCTCTCTCTCTCTTTGTCTCTCGCAGCCTGTTCGAGCAGGAGATCATGAGCTATGTTCCTATTGAAGAGCGGAGTCCGCAGGGCTCGCCGGTGCTCAGCACGCGTATGCCGCAACGTGCTCCGCCGCCATTCCGCCGTGACTTTGAGGCCAAGCTGCGCAGCTTCTATCGCAAGCTGGAGTCCAAGGGCTACGGCCAGGGTCCGCATAAGCTGAAGTACGTGAACAGCCAGAGAGCAACTGAAGGCGAATGATTCGATCTGATTGACTTGTTTTCCTTTCACAGATTGCACATCCGACGCAGTCACCTGCTGGAGGATGCGTTCCGCCGCATCATGTCGGCCAACAAGAAGGACCTGCAGCGCGGCCGCCTCGCCGTGCTGTGGGACACCGAGGAGGGCCTGGACTACGGCGGGCCATCGCGCGAGTTCTTCTTTCTGCTGTCGCGCGAGCTGTTCAATCCCTACTACGGCCTGTTCGAGTACTCCGCCAACGACACGTACACTGTGCAGGTGTCGCCGCTGTCGGCCTTCGTGGACAACTGCCACGACTGGTTTCGGTTCAGCGGGCGCGTGCTGGGCCTGGCGCTGGTCCATCAATACCTGCTGGACGCGTTCTTTACGCGGCCCTTCTACAAGGCGCTGCTGCGCCTGCCGGTGGCCCTCAGCGATCTGGAGTCGCTGGACAATGAGTTCCACCAGTCGCTGCAGTGGATACGCGACAACGACATTGGCACTGGCGTCGACCTGGGCCTGACCTTCTGTGTGACCGAGGAGCTGCTGGGGCGTGTGGTCGAGCGCGAACTGAAGCCGGGCGGCAAGAATCTGATTGTGAATGAGAAGAACAAGAAGGAGTATCTGGAGCGCATGATCAAGTGGCGCCTGGAGCGCGGCGTGCAGGAGCAAACGGAGTCGCTGGTGCGCGGCTTCTATGAGGTGGTCGACTCGCGGCTCGTCTCCGTCTTCGATGCACGCGAGCTGGAGCTGGTCATAGCGGGCACGGCCGAGATCGATACGAACGACTGGCGCCTGAACACCGAATATCGGTCCGGCTACCATGACAACCACCAGGTGATCATCTGGTTCTGGCAAGTGATCGAGCGCTTCAGCAACGAGCAGCGCCTGCGTCTGCTGCAGTTCGTCACCGGCACCTCGAGCATCCCCTACGAGGGCTTCTCAGCGCTGCGCGGCTCCACCGGACCGCGACGCTTCTGCATCGAGAAGTGGGGCAAGCCGAATGCGCTGCCTCGCGCCCACACCTGCTTCAATCGGCTCGACCTGCCGCCCTACCCCACGCCCGAGTTGCTCTACGAGAAGCTGCTGCTGGCCGTCGAGGAGACGAACACCTTTGGCATCGAGTGAGGTCCATCCCCAGTCTGGATGCGGATGATGTGGCTATGACTTGCACTTTGCTGCTGATGCGTGATATTTGCAGAGGAGTTTCTCTTTCTTTTTTTTTTTTTTTTTTTTGTAATATAATTATTATTAGTTTTTTTTTTTTTTCATTATATTTATTGTATGTATTTAGTGGCTTCGCGGGCTGGCGACATATTGTTGTTGCCGGCGCATTCGATTAGCTGAACAGACTGTATTTTTTCTTTCTCTCTCTCTCTCTCGCTCTGCTTACCCGACAGCAAATCGTGGCTTACATAACATATATACTAATATATAGAGAATGTGGTTAGCTGGCGAATCTTGTTGCTTGCGAATTTGAAACTTAATTTGAATTGCCGCTATAATTTTTGCCGTTTACCGTTACTGTTACCGTTACCTCAAAAACTTTTTGCCAGCGCCCTGAAAAAAAGGTGCCGCACATTGCAGTCATTAGAGTTAAGATTAAACTAAATAGTACATATACATACATATATAACTATACACACACACACACATATACACACCTCTGGAACCAATGACAAACTGCAGTCCCTAGACTTGGAACGAATGAACTGCAAATGCAACTAGTTCGTTCAATTGAACCTGTTTACTTAAAGCTGCCTAAAGGAACTTTTGCAACTTAAGCAAAACTTAAAGCTCTCGTCCCGAAAGCTAAACGAGAAAGCAACTCTCTTAGCACTTGAAAAAATGAAACCAAAAAAAAAAAAAAAAAAAAAAAAAAAAATATTAAGAAAATGAAGAAAAATAAGAAACAACTAATGTAGGTCCATGAAGAAGGCCTATGAACAAATTCTACGCCAATACTTAAATAGCTTGTAATTTTTTAGCCTTAACAAGAAGCAAATCTCTTTAGATGTGTGCGTTATTAGCTATGCATTCCATTTAGGAATTGAAAGATTGAAGATTAAAGATTGAAGATACATACGTATGTTAGTTATATGATAATATTTCAAACTACAACTTATACTAAATTCATATTTAAGTAAAACTGTTTTTAAATTTACAAAAACAAACAAGACCGATCGAGATATACGTATATGTATTTACATTGAGCCAGGCACACATATACCTAGATATACATATATGTACATATATGGGTATATGAATACCGGTTGACCCCGAATACAAATTGGTCCAATGCGTTGCTTTGGCTTTATTGGTTTACTCGGCGCATAATATGTAATATGTAATATTAACTATTAACTATTAACAACAAATCAAAATATTAACAATTTATTAGCTAACATTTATTGCGAAAGGTGACAAATTTTGATGAATCGTATTGAAAACTGAATAAACTGATATGAGAATACGAGAAACACAATTAATGAATCGTGATTTGTTTACATGTATTTATTGGCATTAGTTAAACACTTTAAGACGCCAGACAGACAGAGACAGAGACAGACATAGACACAGACTCTGATAGAATGAGATAGAGAACGGATGAGTATTAAACAAAGATAGAAACGCTTTTTTGAACTATCTACGAGTATATTGATAAATTGAGAACGTTTTATTGTATTATTAATGTGCGTGTATTTATTAAATAAATTAACTATATTTAACGAATTAATAAATGTGTGAGCCTTTTACTTCAAAAGCTAAATGTTGTCTTTCAATTGAGACCTACGAACTCAAAATTCTGTTGTAAAATTATATCTCGTACAGCTTAAGAGCTTAGCGAATTTTCGAGTCTTAGAGATAATACCTTAACATTTGATACTGTTATGGTCCTTGAATGAATACACTTGACTGTGACGGTCTTCATTTTAGAATTATCGCTATGCATGTTCACATATTTATCTCTGTTTCTACGTTCATGCATCTCCAGAAACAGTGGATAATTTATACGTAAACTTTTAGCTTTTAAGATTTTAATATTTGATTTCATATATTCTAGAATTTTTCATTTAATATCAATAATAATAATTCAGAAGCTGTAAGCAACTGTTATGCAGTCTGTAGCCCCGCATTTATTCTTATCAGTGCTGCCAACTTTTCCGGGCAGCAATTGACAGTTGAAAAAGGGCAGATCTGGCCGGTAAAAGGCTAAGTTGGCAGCCCTGATTCTTATCTTCATTTTTGGACCCGATTGTTTCTAGTTCATCCTGAAAATATGCAGCATATAAATTGAGGACGCGGATCTGTTCCCATAAAAGTATGCACTGTATTTGTATACCCTGTAAAAATTGTTAATATTGGAACTAAAACAGCAACGGAAATTCTTTCGTTTTCTATATATTTTTTTGTTTTATTTAATTTTTTTTTACAATTTCAGTTTTGGTTTTTGATAATTTTTTTTTCTTCATCTTCAGTATTCAGCAAATGAAATTCACTTTACAAATACCGAAATTATTTTTCAATTTTTTATTTATTCTATTTTTTTTATTCAATGAAAATGATAGCGTATGTACTTAATATATATATTTATATATATATTATATTTTTAAATATTTCGATCGTTTTTTGTAGGCTTCGGTTTTAGTCATTTTTGGATTAATTTTTAAGCAGTTGGACTTGGGCTCGGTTCGTTCTTATTTTATGTACAGAGTTTTCTTATTCTTCTTCTTTTATTTTTTGAGCTGAACAATGGAAGTACTTATGTAAATGTCTAGGATAATGAAAGGAGAGTGATTACGATATCCACTTAGGCGATAAGAGAACAAGAGACGCATTCCTCGGATATTCTTTTATTAATTTAAAGCTAAAGTTTAGTTAGGTTTGGGTTAATGTTATGGGTTAAAGGTTAAAGGTTAAGATGCGCTGAATTGGGTGGGCTGGATAACGATCTCTGTTCGCTATTATGTGAGTGTGTGTGTGTGTGTGTGTGTGTCGGTGTTTTTATAGAGCCAAAGACTGAATGCAGCATCAAATGCAGAGCTTCTCAAACAGTCTGGCCATCATGTGTATGTGTGTATGTGTATGTATGTGTGTAACACTAACTAATTGTACATTAGATTAGAAGAAATTTCGCTAAATCATTTAGTTACATACATATAATATACATTCATATCTTTAGCCAAATATTTGCTATACAATTAAATAAATTCTCTTTGTTCAGACTAAGAAAAAAATATGAAAAATAATACGGAATATTTTTGACACAGACTGTACATACATTATAATTATATATGTGTGAGTGTGTGTATGGATATATATAGTGTGTATTACTTTGTATTCGATTTTAAGCATTACAAAAATAGAGCCATTTTTTTGAATTTTGAAATAGAGTATTACTTCCAGATCATTTTTTTGTTTTTATTTTTGCTTTTATTTAATTTTTGTTTCGCGTTTTCGAAAAGGCCTTTGACAGAATTGAAAATCGTTATATTCGCATGTGTGTGTGTGTATGTGTGTGTATGCATCTCTATATATAGTTGGTGCACTAGTTTGTGTTTTCCTCTTCTTTAATTTCGTATGATATTTATAAGCATTGACCAGCATTTGTCATTGAGCTATGCAATTGCCATGGGATTATCTAACTTCTTTCTATATATTTTCAAAAAATTTCCTTTAATGTTTGTTGTAAATCTGGGCTAGTGTATGTGGGTGTGTCGTAAGCAGGATGTGATTAGATTAGCTTTTTTTTTTTTAAACTTGTTTACGTTTTTCTTTTCTACATCTTTGTTTCCAACATGTTGATCACAGCTTTTACAATTCTAATGATATACAAATGCGAGTGTGTGTGTGTGTGAGTGTGTGTGAGTGACTGTCCGGCTGTGTGTGTGTATCTGAGCGTGTGTTTGTGGCCAACAAAGTGTTCTCTTTTGACATCTTCAATTTGATTCTCCTACTAAATTCGCACCAGAAATACTGTTAACTATATATGCGCAGGTGTGGGTATGTTTGCATGTGTGTGTGTGTGTGTGTGTTTTTGTATGCATAATATACTCGAAAGCCCCGCCTATAATTTGCATATACAGCTGTGTTCATAAAAATAGAAGAGCTGCACGGCATAAAAATTAAATGAAATTCAGAACCGAATTCAAAGCAGAGAATTTGCGAATAGAATTCATTTTTTATAGAAATAGTAGTGAGACGTTTATAGTATTATTATGTGATTTATCACTAAGTGTTGTTGTCCAACACCCAGCACTTGATTGCGCAACTTTTCTCATGAACACATCTGTATCTGCACATAGCTATTCCATACATACTTAGAATTAGTAATACTTTTTTAGTTCTATTTGCTTTTACAAATTTTACACAAAATTTTCAGTTTTTTATTTTATGTTTTTATTGTTGTTTTTTTTTTTTTAATAATCTATTTGTATGTAAAAAGCTGCCCGATTAGTTCAAATTTCGTCTTCTTTTTTCACGCACAACTACATATACCTAAATATTATTTCATTTTAAATTTCCTCATCTGCAATTTTTGTCTTTTTGTTTTGGTTTCTTAGCATTTAAAAAGGTAATACAAAATATGTTGATTTTAGTTGCTTTCACTTTATCTTCGCTTTCGCTGACTGTCTGAATGTATCTAGAAAAGAAGGCGTTGCATACACATGCATATATATCTACATATATGCATGGGTGTATGTGTTTTTGTTTTTTATCTTCTTTGTTTCTTCTCCCTCGCATAGCTCCATCTTTTACTTCGTAAAATTGTTTATTAAAAATTCCACTACAAATACAATAAATTTACTGCTACACGTTGATAAAGCAAAGAAAAAGAATTGAAAAAAATTTTTTAAAAATAAAAATAAAAAAAAACACATTTTATGTTATAACAATTAAACAGCTAGTAAGACGGTTTTCTTTTTCCATTTCTCTATTTTAATATATATGTATGTATATATATAATTTATTATAATTTATTTTGCATCCTTATATTTAACGTGTTTCTTACAAAGCGCTTGAAATTTTGGTACAGACGAGTTTACTTCTTCCTCTTCTTCACGACGTGGCCTGGTGGGTTCAACAGTTCAGACAGTTTTGTGTGGGGGAGGGAGGGAGCGGGGTGGTTCAGATAATGCTGTTGCGTAACTGTTAATCAGTGTGTATGGGAAACAAGGTTGAACAATTCTTAGAAATTTCAGATATCTCCAAGATATATATATCTAGGTATATATATATATATATGTATGCTTGCCTATGTAACTAGGTTTATTTATTTATTTATATTTATTTTTAGTTGATTGTAGGAAATTTTGCAGCAATCTGCTTAGACATTCTATTTGTTGTTTTATAAAATTAAAAAATGATTTATTTGAATTACATTATAAACAAAAATTACACAAAAACAAAAAAAAAACAAAAAAAACATTCGTGGTCAATCCAGCTGCACTTTCTAATTATTCTTATATAATGCAATATTTTAACATTTATTGACTTTGATATTTTACTCCGATTTACCGCCGGACGGTATCAACTTGTTATTCGTTTCTGTGAATTTGTTTTTGTTTCGGATTGGGGCTCCATTTCCGTTTCCGCATCCATTACCCTTATCATTTGCGGTTCCGTTTCCGTTTCCCTTCCACTTCCGCTTCCGTTTCCGTTCGTATGTTGCGCCCTGCCCGCGCTCCGTTCCTTTCGTTGTACTTTGCCACATTTCTATCTAAGCGTCATTTGAATGAATTATCTTAATTATCTTTCATGCAGCTTTTGCTTATAGTTAACTTTAGTCGGCCTGTTAAATAAATGTTTGTTGTTGCTCTTTTGTTTTGTTGTTGTTTCTCTTTTGTTTGTTTGTTTTTCATGTTATTAGCAATGTTAAATTTTATTTGATTTTTCTCGTTTTAGTTTTTTTTTTATTTTTTAGTTTTTTATCCTTTTAATTTTATTTTTATCTAGTTTTTGCGTATTTTGTTTAAGTTTTGTTGTTGTTTTCAGTTTTTAATTTAATTTAATTTAAGTAAATGTACATTACAATTAGAATTCATGTTTATTAGAGGCGTTGCCAAGGCTAGGGAAGGGGCGGGGCGTTGTTAGAGTGGGCTAGGGCAGGGCAATTGTTAGGTTTCTGTTTGTGTTTGTTGCTTTAAAAAAAAAAATAATAATAATAATAATAATAATGTAAGCTTCATTTTCACGAATCATGTAATGATGCTATCAAATAATGCATTTTAAATATTAATTACGTACATTACATAAAACTTGGTATAAATACAAATACATATACATATACATACTACGTAGGTATGCCAGTGTCTCTGTGTGTGTTTGGGTGTGTATATCAATATATGCCTTCAAGTAGTATGCACTAAGCATTTACGATTATATGATATACGCATATATATATATATAGAGCTTTCGATAAATTACAGCTACAACACACAAATGTACAGAATGTATGCGTGTGTGTGTGTGTGTGTCATAAATGGTTTAGCACTAAGTTTGTTTGCACAGTTGCAGCTACACATTCATTTTCCTTTGCATTTTCATTTTTACAATTCACATTTCACATTTAAATTTAAACAATATTATATAATTATCAGAAACACACACAGAAATAGTCTCAATTTTACAATTATCAATGAACTCGCATCATTCGATCTCGCTCTTGCTCTTGCTCTATCCTTTTCATATACATCAACTCGATCTCTCTATCTCTCTCTCTCTTTCTCTCTATATATATATTGTGTATAATAGGTATGTTAAAAAAAAAAAGATTATTATTACAAAATAAACATAGATCGTTTGTCTAATGTAGCAGCTAATACAAAATTACATTTGCAATTTATCATAATAATAATAATAATAATAATAATATAATATTATATATTTATAAAATAATAGTTATCAAAAAAAAAAAAGCTGATCATAATATATAAGTAATCTGTATACAATATGTATTCCTTGTGGCTACAATTTGGATTGTGTCTGTGTGTCTATATATACGTATGTGTGTGTGTGTGTGTGTGTGTGTTAAAGCCCTACTCGGAATCCTGTTCCCGCTCATCGAATCCCGCCAGATCGACCGTCTGCAGCATGCCCCGCGAATAGGCGTACTCGATCAGCGCCAGATGGCAGAACACATATTGATCCGGCATTTGTATGGAGTAGGCGCGCTGCGAACGGATCTTCTCCACTGTGCCGCGTATGTCCGCCGTGCCCACATCCTCCAGACGTGATATGCAGATGTCCAGCGTAATGAAGGTGCCTGCGATTGAGGACAATGCGAATTAGCGATTGCAAATTGAATTTGATTTATCGATATAAATAATATCGGCTATGGCACTCACCGGTGCGTCCAATGCCAGCGCTGCAGTGCACCACAATGGGCGGGCCGCGCGGATGACCGGCCCAGGTATCGCCGAGGGCGCGCACCAGCTGCGCCTGCTTGTCCCGCACCTTCTGCAGGAAGTTCAGCATCGCCATCGCAGAGCTGGGCACACCATAGTCCGGCCAGCTGGTGAACTGCCAATGTGACACATTGCGAATTTCGTCAGTCTAGACAGGGACAGAGACAGAGATAGAGAGTGTGTGAGTGAGTTGTAATAGGCCATCGACTTGACTTACCTTTAGGTTTCTCAATTCTAGGGATGCAACGGTATAGTCCTCATTGCTCTCGACGCTAATGGTTCGCACATGGTAATTGCCAAAGTCCAAGGAACTATCTTCAGTCGGCTCCCAGTATTGGCCGCACTTAACACGTCCGCGCTCCATCACGCGCGTTGTCATAACTATAACTAAGCAATGTTGTTCCCAGATCATGCGCCAAAAGTCCTGGGATGTCTTTGGTAATGGACCTACAAATGCGAAGCAGAACAATATATTAGTGCACTGTGTGTGGTTGTGGGCGTGGGTGTGGGCGTGGGTGTGGGCGTGGGTGTGGGATTATCTCTGCCCGGGAAGCCATAGCGGGCGCATCGATTCGTTCTTGCCTTACCTTGAGTTGAAATATAGGCATTCTTCTGCTTGTAGCCATCAACGAAATTGGCATTGATGTAATCGGACAGGTCGTCCTCATCCTCGTGCGCCAGCACCACGCGACTGTGATCGTAGCAGAGGACGTCTGTGTAACGGTTTTTGGTCAGATTGTTGCGCATGCTGCAAATGAAGAAATTAATTAATTTGGATTCGAATTCGAAATAGGATTCGGTTTCGGTTTCGGTTTCGGTTTCACTTGAGACTTACCGCGCATGCAGGAAGGTGCCCTCGGGCGCCCGATTCCTTATTTCCGTATACTCCTTGATCAGGCCCTGGCGTCCTCGCTCCCGCACCATTTGCACGATCTGTTCGATCGTCTTCGGATCACCCTCCTGTCCGGCCAGGCTGTCATCGTCGCTGAAGCCGGATGAGGCGCTGCTCGGCGGATTTTCCGACCAGAATTCGCCGTTGCTGGCAACGCCAGCGGCGCTGCCATTGACAGCGCTGTCAGCTGCCGTTGCTGCTGCTGCTGCTGCCGTTGTTGTTGTGGTTCCTCCTGCTGCCGCTGCTGCTGCTGCTGCTGCTGTCGGAGCAATGTTACCTGCAGCAGTACCGTTACTCTGCTGAATGCCGCTAGTATTTAGCTTGAGCAGAGAGCCGGCCGCCGTCCGATGGCTGGGACTCAGTCCGTTGATTGTGATGTTCTCGTTGGGCTCCGATTCCTCGCTGCTGCCGCTGCCGGCGCCCGTTCTGCCGTGCTCCCCGCTGACGGTGACAACGGTTGTGTTGCTTTCGGCCAACTGGTGCACGGCGCTGATGATTGTGGCTGCTACGGCGCTGGCAGCGCTGCTGCCGTTCGTTAACGGCGACGCTGTGGCCGAAGCTGTCGTTGCTGTTGCTGTTGTTGCTGTTGTTGCTGGTGCCACGCCCACGCCCACGCCCACGCCCACGCCGACAATATTGGCAAGCAGTTCGTCTTCACGATTCGTCATCGATTTGCGGCAATTCAGCAACCATGTGGCGTGATCGATTTCCAGCGTGCCGCCAAGATGCACAGGCAGCGCCTTGCGCGGCACGTGCAGGCTCAGCTGCGGCACCGATACAGTGAACACCCGCTCGCGCAGCTTCTCGCGCACAAACAGGCGAAGTATCTTGAATGGCGCCTTGAACCACAGCGGCGCCGTCACAATCAACACTTTCTTCAGCCGTGCCGGATAGCCGCCCTAAAGCGAGACAGATAGAGCGAGCGAGAGAGAGAGAGAGAGAGAGACAGAAAGTGAGCAAAGAAATTGCAAATAATTCCATTAAAAATATTGTTTTTTATTATTATAAAATCTTAATTAGAAGAGTTTTATTTCCAAATTTATATGTTACATATATAAGTTTATATATAGTCCGTGTGTGTGTGTCTGTGTGTGTGTGTGTGCTTATTAAATTTGTATTGCCTCGGCACACAAAAAGGTCATTCTAGTCGACATTCGAATCGGTCCGCATACACCCGCATAAATAATGAATATGACAGGGTATATACACTATATATATATAGATATAGATATACATACATACATACACTCATACACATACATACATATATCAACGATTGCAACGTTTTCACTTGTATTTGGCTAAATCTAACTTTTATATATATATATAAATTTAGAATTTCTTCTCTGATTTTATTTATCGATTTTTTTATATCGATTTTCATTTAAATTTGGAATAGAATTGAATCAAAGACATTCAAATGAGCATATAGCAGAGCTTACACGAAATTTAAACTTCGGTATTATATGAATTGCTGGCTTACTGGAATCTAAAGTTTTTGCCCATCAAGGATTTGCTTTCTTCCGTCTTTGGAGTTTGCTCTCTGATTTATGAGAGTTTTTTGAAAACGAAATGATTCAATTGGAACTTCGTATAATATCGTTGGGAAGTAGAAAATTTTCGAATGGCTTAGTTTGCTAGGCTTGTTGAGATTACATAAAACAACTAAGAAGGCTCCAGTCGAGACTGCTCGACTACGAGATTCCCTGAACCCTTCGAACAACTTATAATTTATCGCATCTTTTCTGCATTTACGCACACACACATGCACGCATAAACACGCATGGGCTTACTATGGGAATTTAATTGCTTAATAACTTTTCCTGAGGATTGACTTTCTTCATGAAACTTTTAGATTGTCATAATAACATTTAAATGCGTCTAGTCTCTAGTACTTGAAATACGCCTTTTACAAATTTAGACTTGTAAAGATTTCATCTGATACCTTGATATGAATTATATGGAAATTGAAGCACCGTTAGAATAGTGTCAAAAATTAAAACTTGCATCAGATCTCTGGCAAATAAATCTTATTTTTATATTTCTATAGAGCTTTGATCTGGTTGTGCATCAGAATTGTTTAGGCAATTCATTTGCATTTAAATATATATGCAAGAAGCAAGAAATGAGCAAATGAAATTTACCTGCAGAGGTATATATGTATATTACACATATACATACATGCATACATACATACACATATGCATATTATGATTATGATTTCTTCAGATATATAGATATATATAATATGTACAGGTAAATTTCAATTGCTCGTTTTCTTCTTCATCTTCTTCTTCTCCTTCATCTTTATTTTCGTCTTTCATCTCGCTTTTTTCCTAGTTATTAGCGCGTTGGCGTTCGCGCGACTTTGACGCACCCACGCACAATGCGTATAACGTGTGTGTGTGTGTGTGTTCGTGTTCGTGTGTGTGTGGGCCTTTTTTCTGCTCTTTAATTAAATGTGCTGTTAACTGAAGCAAAATCATCCAGTCGAGCAATTTTTAAATGAAATTGCTGCTGCTGCTACTATTTTTTGTTGCTGTTGTTGTTGTTGTTGTTGTTGTTGTTGCTGCTGCTGCTGATGCTGTCTACTGCGGCACAACCTTCACCCAGTTGGAAATCTCATTGCGGCCATTTCTCAATTGCCACAAATACATAAAAGAAACAAGTAAAAGTGCTCGAACCGGGCATGTTCGACGCGCAGATACCCAGTTAAGTGCAGCTGAGTAAAGTCTGAATAGCTTGGCTAATGCAGCTACTTTAGCCACAAGCCCATTCGACCTTGTCTGCTGCTCTTGCAGGGTATTTAGAGCAGTGCCAGCCAGCCAAGCACCACCCCAAATGACGCCCAGTTGGCCGAGCCATTTCCAGTTTGCGTCGGCTTTTATCCGTGTCAACACCATTTATACGTAGCTTATTGGCCAAACTCTCTCTCTCTCTCTCTCTCTCTCTCTCACACTCACACTCACACTCACACTCGCACTCGCACTCACTCTCACTTTCTCTCTCCCTTCCTCGTTGCATACACAAAGTTATATAGCATTTATTTGCGGTTGCATAGGTAAAGCGCAAGCAGCAAAGATATTAAGGTCAGCTGCAGCAGCAGCAGCAGCAGCAGGAGCAGCAACAGCAATTGAAACACCTACAGCAAGTGCATTGAAACATTTATGAACAGCAACAACAACAGCAACATCAGCAACAGATTCAACTTTCAATTTAATTGAAATAACTGTGGAGCTCGGCCATTGCATTGGCGGGTGCCGTGCGCTTCTTTGGAAACCTCGTGTAATTGCATTTTGATTGCATTTCCCATATTGGAAAACTGAATTCAAATTAAGAATTCTTATCGGAACGGCGCTGCCAGGAATGGCCAACAGGCAACACAAATGCTGCCGCATTTTCTATTTTCTATTTTCAATGCTAATTGCCAGTAATTTGAGCAGGGCGCAGCGACAAAAAGGTTTCCAGCTTTTTCTTTTTTTTTTTTTTTACTGCTTTTCAGCTTTCCACTGACATTTCGAATTCCACGCATGATTTCCAGCATTTTACGACTGCTTGCCGGAGGTTTCTTAGCATTGCATCATCAGCAGCAGATAGCAACAGCAGCAACAACAACAGCAACAGATGCAAGACCAACTGCAACTGCAACATTCTTGCAATCCCCCTTTCATGTGACATGTTTATGCTTGTTCATGAGTTGAAAAAGGGTGTATTGTTTTTATGATTAATTATGAGAGACTAAGAGGGACTTGAAATAACGAAAGATATACAGTCCAGTCTCGAGAATTTGTACCCAGCTAAATCGAAAGTCGAGATAAATCGAAAAGAAAAATATACCCCCTTGAACAAATTTGTTCTCGATAATTTGAATTTTTGTGTAAATCGAAAAAGAACTGATCCCCTTGCCATTTCGAACTATCGGGATTCGATTGTATATATTTAGAGGGAGAAAGGGAAGAATGAGAAATAGAGAGAAAAAGAGGAAGAAAGCAATGAAATTGAATAAGCGAGACACAGACAGAGAGAGGAGAGAGAGAGAGAGAGAGAGAGAGAGAGAGAAAGAGAGAAAGAAAAAAAGGATATGATAGAAAGAATTTGGAGGAGAGAGAGAGAGAGTGAAAGGGAAAGACAGATAGAGAAAGAGTGAGTGATACAGGGAGCGAAAGTGAAAGAGATAAGGAGAATGAGAGGGACAAAGAGAGAATGAGAGATAGAGAGAGTGAAAGCAGAAAAGGATAAGTATTTTTGTTCTATTAGTCATTTAGTTTTAGCTCTATTCGAATTACCTTGCCCCAAACAATAGGCGTAGCTATTATAAACTCTATATAATTTTACTTCAAAATTCTTGATTTGAATCATCAGAGGTATAACAAAGCATATACCTCATATTAATATAATTATATGTATCTATTTACCATAAATCCCATATTCACTACATAGTCTAACCAAATTTATCAGTTAGGAACGTGGTCAATCCGAATGTCAAATGAATAGTTTGATGGAATCCGGCTATAACGAATTCGCCCATATGGTTATTGCGACGAAAATTCTGGTCCCCCGATAAACTTATATGAGCTACATTATACGGTTATAGCATCTTCCGGGTATAATTATGGTCCCTTGAGCGTCGCTATAACCGGATTCTGCTGTATATCTAGCACAGCTTTACAGTTACAGTTGATTTTCTTTGTTCTAGCTACTGGAACTTATCAAGTCGATGTCGAGAATACCTATAGCTCTGTCGATCACTCCCGACTACTTCTCTTTGCAGTTACAATGTGTTGCAGTAGCAGTTGCAGTTGCAGTTGGCGCGCTAAAGTAGGCAACACATTTGGCTAAGTCCCCCCTCCTCTCTCGCCTTACCCTAGAAAAGCGCTCGAGTGGAATACGAGTGTGTGTGTGTGTGTGTGTGTTGCTCGTGCTCTCAATGTCACAACTGTTGCAGCTGTTTGACCCACACGGAAACCGTGTAAAATCGAAGCCAATTTGCATAGCAACAAGAAAAGCCAACAGAAATGCTACAAATGCTACAAATGCTTGTTGCCTTTTGCTAACGAATCAAAACAGAACAACAACAACAACAACAACAGCAACAAAAGGAAAGCAGGAGGAGGGCAAAGAAGTGCTTGCGGTATTTTTGTATAATTTGTGGTCCTTGCTGCTATGATTAATATTATTTATTATTATTAGTATTATTATTATTATTTCTATTGCGTGCGCCGTACAATAAATGTCGGAATTTATTACGGCTTTGATTGTACATACGTTTTATAATATACATTTATGTATATATAAGTTGCGCATTGTGTTGTTGTTTACCTTTAAGGTGACCCAGAGTGCTATGGCTCTACTTTTTCTCTATACAGAATAAGCAAGACGGAATGCAATGAGAAAATTCTTGAATAACTTTGAATAGAACTGAAAAGCAGCTTCATTACTATTTGGGACTATTTGCAGAGAGTGAGAGAGGAAGAGAGAGCTAGAGAAGGAAGTTAGAGGAAGACAGCGAGAGAGAGAGAGATAATAGGATAGGGGCAAGAGGGAATGAGAGATAGCGCGAGGGACAGAAAGAGAGAGAGAGAGAGAGAGAGGCACAGAAACAGAAAAAGAGAAAGGAGACAGAAAAGGAGAGAGGGAGAGGGAGAGAGAGAGACCGACAGGGAGAGAAGGACAGACAGAGAAAAAGAGAGAGAGAAAGGAATAGAGGGAGAATGAGGACAGAGAGAGGAACAGAAAAAAGAGACACATAGAGAGAAAGAGAAGAGGGACCGAAATGGAGAGAGAAACAAGAAATGATAGAACGAGAGAAAGGAAGAATGAAAACAAAAGAGTGAGAGAGAGAGAGAGGGCTGTGATGTCCGGCTAATTTATAATATTCGCTTTTGGAAACATCGTTTAT